ATATCGACAAGGTATTGTCTAATTTTGATTTTTGGAACATTCCATCGTTGTTAGATTGAGAATTATCGGTTTTTTGTTTTGTATTGTATCTTCCGGTTTCGAGGTGTCTTGTTTCTATTGAACGCGACGAATGCGGGGAGAAAAAAGAGCGTCATCGATTGAATATCCACAAAGATATCAAAAGTGATCACTTTAATATTAACGTTTATTTTAATTGTGGTAAATACTTTATATTATATGTATATTTCGTGTCATCATAGAGTGCTTGGTTGAATATGAAAAATCGATTTCGGACAACTGATCTCACGGGAACGAAAAGTAATCCAAACACTTCCCCATATTTAGATTACATATCGTTCTTTCGTTTCTATAAACTGTGACATTTCAGGAAACATAGTTCGCTTGAACTTCGATAATTCAGTGATTAAAATCCACAAGAAAAAACAATTCTAAACAATATTTACTCGTTATAAAAAGTACAGATTCTTTTCTTGTTCAATAATCGATAATAAGGAGTAATTTTTTCGATTTTGTGTTCACTGTATTTTTAAGTTTCAAGCTGCTTATATAATTGTTTATGTTGAGTATGAATTTATAATTCTAAAAAAGGAATAAAGTTTGACTGGAATACATTTAAATGATCGGCTATGATAAATTCAGATGAATCGATGATTCGATAATAAACTTGAATTCATCGTAATCGTAAATATTCTAGGAGAATTCGAAGGAAGAAGAGAGAATAACGAGAAAAGAAGGACGAAGATGCAATTAATCTTAGATATTTACATCGTTAGTGATAGGATTTAGAAATAGATCAAAACTGTTTCAGTTTATGTAATATGAATGTCTTTTACTGGATCAAAGATATGATAAAGGCAGAAAAATTTCCATCTTTTTATAATAAGAAATTTTATAAAAGTGAGCGAGTGTCTTTGATTGATAAAGACGAAGTACCTTGCTTCTTCGTTAATTTTCATTGTGCTTCATATCATAAAAGAGAGAAACTAACAATTCGAAAAAGCATTTCAATTGATATATACTCTAAATCTTATTAAATTACCTTATAAATTCTTATAAGTGAACGATTACTTTCCACAAAGCTGAATTATATATAAATCGAAGATATTTTTAATGGACACTTGTTAAGAAGAACGTAATATAGAGTCTCGAATATTTAATTAAAGTATGGAACACCAGAGGGGACGTTCTATCCGAAAACGGAAACCTTCCCCAAATTTCGTTTGCAGATCAGATCGATCCCTCCTTGTTATTTTCTTAAACTTTTATTTAAGTGAATATTTATTCACTTTCCATTTATAAAAATGCA